CCCCCCCCCCCCCCCCGCAACTGTCCCTCACCAGCAGGTCGGTGTTACCGCCCAAACGGAGTTGGGGCTTGTGCTTCTTCACCAGGCTCTTCAGGGTGCTTCGCGGCAGGGTACGCTTCATCTCAGCGGCGCGGGAACCCTCTCTCGTAACCAACGCCGGACTCCGAATCAGCGTACTTCCGGCGGGGTGCTCGCCCCAAAACACTCCACGATCGAATCGAGCGCGCTTGCGCCGTATAAGTTCGAATCTGCCGCCGCGCGCCTTACGTCACAGTAGCAGCTGACGTATCGACCCGCCTACTTTTTCCCGGAGTGATTGGTGGAAGGGAGCGCCTTTCTCTTTTCTTCATTCAGAGGTACTGTTGAGAGAAGCAAGGGAATGAATGCGCCCTTCATCCTCCAGTTTGATATCCTCCATTATATCCAGCACGATACATACTGCTCTCCTCCCCCACACCACACACACACACACATAAATGAACACGGTCTTTTTGTACAATGGACTTATTTAAACTCAGTAGGACTTGAATAGCCCGTGAATGTGTCTTAATCTGTTACGAACTTATTTTAAAAGTTGCAAATTTATGTGCAGATCTCTGCTTATGGTAAAAGTCGGCAATAGTTGTAAGGGGATCTTGTCCGCGAAGGATTACGCCGCGATCGGTAAGGCTTCAAAAGAATGCACTCAACTCTTCGTGATTACAAACGTGACTCTTCCAACTGAACTATTTCGCCTTTTGGGGAGTCACCAAATGAAGTTGTGGTTTTGTTTGTTTTTTTACTTTTAAATTTTATTCGTGAAATATAGCAAAGAATGAATACATCAGTGATATACAAAAGAAACTACATACATTGATGAAAAAATTAGCATAAGGGAAAGAAACTGAGAAAAAAGTTAAAGAAAGATACATATGATATCAATATAAAACTTACTCAATTCTTAAACTTATTAAATCTAGACCATAGAGGAACACATTGCTTCATCTTCCCATTTTTAGAACCCAAAGATGCTTTAAAAATTGATAAAGGACACATATCTGAATCCATTCCAGCTGTGTTCTCACTTTCACAAACAGTTCTCCTAGGCTGGCCCAAAATTGCAATTATTTACCTGGGAATAAATTTATTCAAATTTGTTATAGCTGCCCAACTCTGATGGAGTCAGGCACAGAGGAGAGAGAGCTGGGTGACTCCAAGGCTCCACACAATCCTTCCATCATATGTGTGATCTGTCAGTCAGTTGAGATGTTTTTGGAGACAGGTGTAGCACTCTTCCAGAACAGCACTATACTTGTGTACAAAACTAGTTTGAGTGACAAGTGACAGAGCCAGAGCATCTCCATGACAACCTGAAAAGTGGCTAAATCCTGTTTTTGGGGAACCTGCCTGCACTTGCCCAATACCACTTACCACAGGTTTAGGAGAATAATTGGTATAATCAGCGGGTGATGCTCTTTGGGAGAGGAAACAAAGCTTGGAAATCCATGAAATGTTTTCCTTACTTTGTCCCTTATTAAACCTGTAATCGCTGGGATTGAATAGGGCTTGGCCACGAGGCAATCCAACATATGCCGGGGTACTTTTCTACTGAGTCATGGACATGAAAAAAAAGTCCAGGGGAGTTATACTTGGGTATCTCATGCATGACTAGAGTGAACACACAAGACAGGAGTAGGAGTGTGCCATAAAATTCTATTCCTGACATGTATGTAGAGAAAGGCTCTCTCCTTAAAGAATTTTCCTCCTTAAGGAATTTGGGAGTGAATGCCCATACATATGCAGTCCCACCACAAAGGGAGGCTAGCCCCAAATGGCAGGAAGGAGAACTGGCTGCTGTCAGGGATGAGTCTCCCAGAAGATCTAAAGTAGGGGTGTACATCTTGCAGGAGGTGTCCTTCTCTTGGGTATCCTGGGACCAAACTGTAAGCAACACCTTGTATCCTACTCAGAAATAAAGTGGAAGTATAAGTTAATTGTAATTGTGAGCTGAATGCTAGAGACTTTAAAACAACCTAATCCAGTTTCATACAGGAAATCCAGCTGCAGTATGTCCAAAGATAGCTGTCCAGCTTCTCCTTGAACACCTTTTGTTAAACCCCAACATACACAAAAGTAAGGACTTATGCTAAGAGACTTGTCTTTTTCCCCTACCAGAAATCAAACATCACTTTTCCTCCTTAAAATTAAATTTGAATGTGTTGTCTTAACAATGTTTCCATGTTTGTTTTTCTTAGAATTAATGTGTGCTATAAAGGACTTCCATAATCCTTCAGTTAGCATGGTCAAAACCTATTACCTAATTCTGCAATATGTATAATCATATATTGCAAGTTTATCACCTCTGGATACTACATTGCTAATATTTTAGTGCTTACATATGTAAAGTTAACCATATTTATAGAAGATATCTCTGAAAATGAGGAAAATGTTGTTTTGCATATGGTACTTTAAATGTTGACATTTCATATTCAAGTGTAAAAATACTTGATGCTCATCCAGTGCTAATGATTAATAGAAATTTTGAAGCATATCTTTTCCAGCACTGAAAATAAATCTCCAAAGAGAACAGAACAGTCTTGCAAAAACTGCCCTATAAAGATAGAGATGATCGCTTTGATTATTCCAGTTTCATAATTAGATGATAAATAGTTGAATGGTTGTTTTCTTTCATATATCATTTCTTCCTGATACACACACACACACACACACACACACACAGTGAGAGAGAGAGAGAGAGAGTGCTATATTTGGATGAAGAGTATTTGTACATCAATATAACTTCATCTAAGAATGAAGAACAAAATAAATGTAATGGGCAGATTAATATTCCTTTGTGAGATATGTGTCTATGTAAAATATTTGGGGGATAAAGGAACATTTTGCCCCAAAGTACTATATATTTGGTATTATTGTCATTATTATTATCATTCTTCCATTATTCCATACATATATACATATATATATATATATATGTATGTAAAAACTCAAGATTGTGAGCATACCTAATACTCCTGCCTCCCACAACAATTTCCCCCCCACAACAACAATCCTGTGCGGTGTGTTGGGCTGAGAGAGTGAGTGGTGTAGAACTCACAGTCTCCTGGTTTCTAGGCCAGCACCTTAACCACTACACCAGACTGGCTGGATAAATAAATAATAAATATTGATACATTTATTTCTGTGTGCGTAAATATTATATATTTATTATATACTTATTTATTTATTGAAGTATATATTCTGCACATATATTTCAATCTTGAAATCGGGAATTCAACCCTAACTGACACTTAAAATGAGAGGGAGAAAAAGAGTTTTCTTCTTGTTGTCCACACCTTCACAGATTTCTCATCCCACTCCTCAGACAATGGGCTTTACAAAGTACCTAATACGATAGGCAGATATTTAGCCCAATTCTGCTTTTCATCACGACATAGCTTTTAAGCAGCCTTTACAACCTTATTTATTTATTCTAGAAGTAGGGCCTCACTCTATTTCACCCATTCAGTGACGTATGTAACAATAGTCAATGAATCAATGAAGTATGTAACACCAACAACAACAATGTAACAAAACCAAAAAAAGAGCCAGTTTGGTCTAGTGGTCAAGGCCCCCGGGAGACTGGGAGTTCTAGTCCTGCCTTGGGCACGAAAGCCGGCTGGGTGACTTTGGGCCAGTCACGCTCTCTCAGCTCACCTCACAGGGCTGTTGTTGTGGGGAAAATAGGAGGAGGAAGGAGTATTAGGTATGTTCACCACCTTGAGTTATTTATAAAAATAATAAAGACAGGATTTAAAAATCTAGGAAAAAAATGTGAATCAAACCATTCAATGGGCAAAGGATTTGCTCAAGATCTTATAAATGTGCAGAGCTTAGGAGGGTTAGGGTTAGGGTTAGGGTTACAGCAGTCCAGAGGATCAAGAATAAAATACTGAAGGGCATACAGTAACGGATTGAGTACTCAAGCCTAACAACAAATATTTTCTTGTAATCAATAGTCTTTGAATATGCGATGAATATGAGATTTTGTAAAACACATTTTGTTTTCATGAGTTTCTAGTTCCCAAAATAAAGTTTAAAGCTGATGTTTAGGAATCTGTGAGCATGGAGAATATAGTTCACTCCCCACCCCCAAAACAAATAAGAACAGAGTAATAGACAACAACAGGCACACAAAAAGACATATACTGTAACATCATAGTGACATACAAAGTATTTCATGGATTTTAACAGTTAATAAAAAATTGTATAACTGCAGTCCTCGAAATCCTACTCTCCAGGCTAAGTGTATAAGCCCATGTAAAAAAGACCTCTTAGTGTAGCACTCACTGGGCAAAAGTTGTTCATTGTATGGAATGCCATCTAAAGGGCTTTCTGGCTCTGCACTGTGTGCTTAGCAAAGAAGAGAGACTTTAGATGATGCATAGGGCTGCAAAAGGAGATTCTGCATCCACATGATGGATACTTTTTTCCTTCCACATACTAAACCCTCATCTCAATTGCTGTGTCTTCTCCTCTAACTTCCTTCCCAGGTATGCCAATTTGTCTGTCAGATTGTAATAGGAAACTGCAGTTTCAAAGCTCCTTTTTTGTTGATTTCCCTCTCTTCTTTTGCTCTTCCCCCAGACTGACAGTCAGTGCAGAGTCTCCCTACTAAACCACAACATAATTCTGAGTGCTCTGTCTCCTTGTCCCAGTTTTGCCTGTAGTTACCCTATTCAAGGAGTGCCAGTTATATAGGATGCATGCACATGTATCTGGAGCTCTATTTAAAATGAGGTGACCACCTGTATTAGGTGTAGCACATGCTGTAATTCTTACTTCCTGTTGGAGCACCTGCTTACTAGTTTCAACAAGTTGTCCATCTCAGGGATGGTAACTCCTCTCACCCTTATCATCTTACATTAAGGAAAGTTAGGCAGGCGGATACCTGGCACAGGTGCCTATCACAGGCCAACTACATATTGCTTTGAATATCTCAAGAGCTGAGCCTTCAACAGCCTGGAGCACATTGGGAAGGGACCTCTTTACGGAGTTCAGTTTTCTCCCTAATGAACTATCTTCAGTTGGGCTAGGAATAGGGTGAAACACTGAGATGAAAACTTACTGAAATCAGCAGTGGTGCCATATCATTGATTCAGTGATTGTCTATTAATCTCATCATGATGATCATGAGGCCAGAACTGTAGGAGAGCTTTCCCCTTG